TTATGGAAATTGCATTAAAGACTCCTTTTTTGCAGCCCAGATTCACTGCAGAGATTTTGCTTGATGAGCTGTACAAATAACCGGCTGCATGGGAGAGGCCGTCCTCACCAGCAGAAAAGCTTCAGAAGGTGTCAGTGGATGCTTGGAGGCACCTGCTTGCCTGGCTTTTGTACTCTTTCAGTGGCAACCCTTGTTAGGTCCATTTGTGGAAGCTGAAGAACTCTAATTCTTTGTGTTAGCACCTCGGAGGGGTTGCTCACGTGATAGCACAGGCAGCGGATGAGCCGAGCGGCGTTCCCTGCCCTTATTACCTTGCGCAGGCTAATGTCTTTATCTCATTTGTGTCCCTCTGCGCTTTGGTACCTTTGTTCCTTGAACAGTTTCCTATGCAAATACTCTTGATACTTGCCCACAAAGAATGTCACGTGCCATTTTTGATATCAGATTTGTTGGTCTCCTAATACTGCAGCTTGCGTTTTACTTAAAATGTACATTTCTATCTCAGATTGTTAATAGCGATAAATAGAAGAGGTGGGCCAGCAGTTGCTAAGGAGACTGTTAAACTTGCTGAAGAGTTCCTTCTTTCCACTGATGGGGTCGTAGTAGGACTTGACCTTAGTGGCGATCCCACCGTAAGTTTTTGTTTTATTTTGATCTGTTCTTGAAGATAAACCTATAACATCGTGTAACAGCAAGCTGTCCTAATGATGCTTTGTTCTTACAAGTTCTTGTCTGATGTTTGTTACTCTTTTGAATGGATTGCTTGTAATCTTGATACGAGGTTACTACTCCCTGTTGCTGTCGGGGACAGGCACTCTTAACAAAGAATCAGTAGATTAATATATGGCATTGAAAAAAAGAGCCACTAAAAAAGTGTTTATCTGGGAGGTCCGTTACTGAATTGTCCCAGTCAGATTGACAGGGTCAAGGCAAGTTAAATAACACTGCAAGTTGATACTAGTTTAAATTCTGGTGAGATGCACCAAGTGCTTATTAAGAAAGCAAAACTGTTTGAGGGCAGCTGTCCCGCTGAACAGCTCTGGATGATAGTTGTGGACAGCAAAATCCAGGCAGTTGGCTTGTAAGTGTTGGGCGTCATCTGAACTGCTGATGTTTGACCGGTTTGTCTGAAAGGTGCCCATGTAGCAGAACATTATGTGACTCGCTAAATTCAAAACTAAAGTAATGGGAAAAGTAAAATAACTCACTGTGTTTGAATTAAGCATTTTGATATTGCTAGACTTGTTAATTACTGTAGTAGGGGAGTTTTGTAGCACAAGCTGTAGAATGGTTACGTGCTTTTCAAGGCAGGACATGGTCAAGATTATTTGGAAGCACTCTCAGAAGCGAAGAAAGCAGGTCTGAAGCTGGCATTGCATCTTTCAGAGGTACATGTTTTCTTTATTTTGGCCCTTCCCATTTTATAAAACCGTGATGAAACTAAAATTTAACTTTTGTGCGTGTTGAGCTTCTCAGGCCATAGCAGTAATGGTTTGGGCCATTGTGACAAGAGAGAAGAGAACAAGTAGAAACCTTCAGCAATCTGGTCTGAAGCAGAGCTGTTACGTTATTTCTTACCGTACTGCATCTACTGGGGGGGTTACCTGTGAATTTAAAAGCTAATAATATTGCAAGATGCCCGCTGTTTTATTCTTGGTATTTTATCAGAAGTCACGTGTAGTAAAATTTGCACCTTTTTATGAGTAGATCTGTTTGGGCTTCTGCATACAATCTATTGAAGTGGTGGCTGAAGAGTAAACTCTGATGAGTCTGATAAATACTGAAAATATTTTTATTTCTTCAGGAAATTAAGCATTATATATGATGTCACAAGCCTATTTATACTTCTTTCTGTTTCAATAAGGAGGCTTTTGCAGGATTTTCCCGTATGCTTCTCTGAAAATTTTATTTCCTAATGTCTCACTGGTCTTCTGGTTCTCTTTTATTTTTAGTTTTGTTTGCTTGGTTTTGTCCTCTTGTGGTTTAAATTCGTCGTGCGCTATTTTTTTAATCCCTGCCTAAACCAGGTCTCGTTGACAGGGCAGTTTTGAAATTGAAGCATACAAAACTGCTTTGAGGGCTCCAAATGAAAGTACTTCAGAACTGCAAACAGCAACTGTCTGTTTTTACATACCAGTTTAGGGTTATGGCTTCTCCAGTTCGTAATTCCAATTTGAGAGTAACTTCCATGCCCTACGTCTTTCTTTACAGGGTAGCAATGCTGATATTTAGTCTTGCTCACGCTTCCTGTTCAGTATGTTGTTAAAACAGAACTTGAAGTTTGTTGTAGTGATGTGAGGTGCTGCTTTAGGCTGCCTTGACAGAATGTAAAATACTTCTTCTCTAGATTCCAAATCAAGAAGAGGAGACCAGAATTCTCCTGGGCCTGCCTCCTGACAGAATCGGACACGGAACATTCCTCAACTCTGCAACAGCAGGTTCAGAGGAGTTAGTGCCACTTGTCAGACAGAATCATATACCTATTGGTAAGAAAAAAAAAGTTAAGAAAATTACTGGTGATCTCTAGGTTTCAGAATGGCACACGTACTGCTGAGCTGGTAACTCCAGTTTGTCTTTAACCAGAGGTGACTGTGGCAGCAGACAGCAACTGATGTCTTGGATGAAACCGCAGTAGATCATAACTTTTAGGGCCTGTGCAAGGCCCGTGTGGTGTTTCTGTATCTGGTTTGCAAGCTCCCTCAGTTTTATACCCATCCAGCAGTTAAGAAGAAAGTGATTACCCAACTTCCCTCAGAAGATAACACCAAATATTTGAGGCGTAGAAAATCAAGGAAAGAATAACAGCAGATTGTCCTTTTTGTAGAGGAACATAAAAAGTCAATGTGTCAAAACCATGCCTTTTGCTCTGAGGTGTATCTCTGTTTCTTCTTTTTTTTTCCCCCCTTAGAAATTTGCGTGACATCAAACATCAAAACGCAGACAGTGCCTTCCTGTGACAAACACCATTTTGGATACTGGTACAACATGGGCCACCCTGCAGTGCTCTGTGTGAGGGTTTTTCTTTTAATTATTATTTCGACCATGTATTTAGGCAAAGAGACAAACCAGTGTGAAATCAGAGAAGTCTATCTCCTTTTACGAATCAGAGCTAACCTACAATTACACTTACATTAATACTTGCAGTCTTGCAGCAAATCATCTGCGATATAGGAAACAGTTTGAGAACTGCTTGTAATACAAATGGGAATTTTTAGTATTTCTCTTGCTTTTATTGTAAAGCTACGCCTTTTTTCTGTGTAGATAAGGTGATCAGCTGTACGTGCAATATACTGCTTCACTCTTTGCTTACTGACAGGCTTCTCTTAACATACTGGTCCATGGACTTGCAGGAGAGCTTGGGCTTACCTGGGTGATTTTTGTGTTGGCTTTGCTTACTGACAGGTTTCTCTTAACATACTGGCCCATGGACTTGCAGGAAAGCTTGGGCTTACCTGGGTGATTTTTGTGTTGGCTGAGAGCGCTTGAGTTCTCCTGACAGTTAATTAAGGTCCTTAAATGTTGAGGTGCCAAGTACTTCTGCTGGCATTGGTAGGATTTTGCTGTCGTGCCGTTGGTTTAACCATTATAATTTGTAGCACTGTCCAAGGGTGTGTGTATACGTTAGAGCCTTGTGCTTATTAATCAAACAAGCCTCAATCCCTTATTGTAGAAAGTAGGCTGTCCAAAGGTGTGTGTATACGTTAGAGCCTCGTGCTTATTAATCGAACAAGCCTCAATCCCTTATTGTAGAAAGTAGTTATTACTGAGTTTGATCTTTGCTGTGCTAGGTGAAAAATAATTCTTGAACAGACATTATTTCTGATATTTTTCCATTGTGAAAAGTGGGTAAGCAACGAAGTCACGTAAGAAAGCAGTTTACTCACAAAGGCTTACAAAAATGAGAGCGGTAGGAGGAGGAGACACTACGGTGCCAACTTGAAGGGGATGTACTTAGCAGTCTCCTCTGTGGGGACACAAGGGCTCTCGCAGATGGGTAATCTCATTAACCCTTAAATAATCCGAATTTGCTCCTTTTAGATGAATAATCTCTAGGTGGCTTTTGATCATCTGGTTTTGCTGCTGGCCGAGTACTTAAGTCAGTATCAAGAAATTGTTCTAGTGGACCCCAGCTGCGGAGGGTGGGACAGTTTCTTCCCCGTGGGAAGAGGTAGGAATACAGCGCGTGCTCTGGTTCCCAGGTCTGAGGAAAGGGAAGAGCGAGGAGTAAAGACACCTGGACATACGGACATAGCTTGCTTGTGTGCATCATTTGATAGTCACCTTTCTAACAATTTTGATAGGAAATCCTTTTCTCTTGATAAATCGTGCTATCACTTTAAGGCGTTTTCCTGTATGTTTGAATAACTTCCTAATTCTGAGTGAAAATAGGGCTGATAAGTATGAAATAATTGACAAAAGATGAAAGAATTGTTCAATAAAATGTGAAACAGCAAGGTAAAACTGTTTTGTAACATGTAAGAAAAAACCCTTTTTGAGGTAGAGGAACTAATTTAACCTTTTTTCTTTTCTTTCAATTTAACTCCAGACTGATGACAAAGGTGTCTTCGCAACAGATCTATCACAAGAATACGAGCTCGTTGCAAAAACATTTAATCTGACTCGATCACAGATGTGGGATCTTTCCTATGAATCGATCAACTATACTTTTGCTTCGAGTGTGGTAAAATCAAAGCTCAGGGAACAGTGGTGTGAACTGAAGCCAACTCTGTTTGATTAATCAAACTGTTGTTTTAAACGGGTTGGGTGTACTGGCTTAGGTAATAAGCGTTTTTTACTGAAGTTCCTGGCTTTTTTCAGACTTCAGGTTTATAAATCCAGTCCATAAACTGCCTGTGCAAAATGAAGATGACAGGAATGCATCCGTCATTAGCGGGGTCAGAAGTTAAATGTTCTTCCGTAGCTGGAAAGGGCTTTCGACTAGTGACGTCTTTCAAAAATACTTGGCTGAAATATGTCATCGTACTTAGAAACATTTGAGAGTCAGAATGAAAAAAAAGGCACAGCTGTTAGGGTTTAAAACATCTCATTGGCAACCTTACACCAAGCAGTTTGTCTGTGTGGTATTTGCTTTTTGCATGGTTTTTAAACAAGTTTTGAGCGGTCGATTGAATGTGAAGACCAGAAGCAGACTCGGAGAGAAGGAAATACTTGGCCCAAAGGAATTGTTGCACCTGTTTTTATTGGCTTATGTGTGTGATGGGAGGGTTGAGTAGCAGATGCGGGGGTGCCTGTTGATGTGCTCAGACCTGGTACCACTTCGACAAAGTTTGGAAGCTTTGGCAAACTGTGAGCTACATGGGGGAAACAGCCTCATTCTTAAAATGCTTCTTAGAATTGCTGTTTGGTTTTTTTATGGGAAAAAAAGCAATAAAAACAGCTTCAACCTCCACGTTTCCCAAACCACTACTTCAGGTGTTCATGCGTGTGTGAGGTGTGTGGAACGGCGTGTATTTGGATACCAAGATATCAAAAATAAATGTGTACACACAGAGAAGAAATCTCGCACCTAGAATGTTTCTACATCGATTAGTTCAACCAGCAAACATTCTGGGCTCTACAAGGAATACTGGGTGCAAATACAGCGCTAAAAAAGCTGTTGACAACTTCTGTTTTGGTCTTTTTTGATGCAATCATTATAAAGTTCTGGCTCCAAAGTGGCAAGAAGAGAAGCAAAAAAAAACCAAACCAAAAAAAGGCTGGGGTTCGGAGGAAGTTGGTATGTCTGCTTCGCCACCTGCGGTTTCCACAGAACGTCTTCCAAGAAGACGCTTGTTTTGGAGACGGGGGAAATCTCTGTGAGGCAGAGCTGTGGGTTTGTATATTATCAGAATTCATAATTAAGACTTCATGCTGACTTTTTATTTATAAACAATACTTCAAACCGCTTTCCAGTAGCTTCATGGATTACCTTATCTTTAGTAATTGCTAGGTAAATGTATTATTTTCCATTTCTTACTAAAAAGCTCTCTAAAGACAGATGGAGCAGCTTTCTGGAATGTTGTATATATCTTAGAGGGCTTACACTAAAGTAAACCCTTTTGTAAAATGAGTTTCTATAATATTTTTATAGTGACGGCCTTGTAACTCTGCAGTAACGCAGTATTTGGTTTATTAGCAAAGAAAAACTGTCAGCTTCCTGCCTGTTTCCTAAGGGATCATCCTCAGTGTTTGTCAAGTGTTAACACTTTCTAAAGCGAAGTAAGACTCATAATTAAGTGTCTGATGAGATTTTTAGTTTCAGACTGTGTTATACAGAAGCAAGTTTGACTTCTAAGGTTTACATGTTGAATGTGACATCTTTTCATTCCAAGACCATGGCCTTGGCAAATGCTCCTTTTTTCAACTTCCTTTTTTTTTCCCTGCAAGCATACAGTGTCGTAGGGATTTTGAACAGTAAGGACTGCTACTTGTAGTTCTCAGTTTTTCCATTTAATTGCCTTATATATGTGTCTTCAAAATCCTGCCTTGCATCAGGTGTAGTAGAGCCCCCAGTTTGGCACACAATGACACGTGGATGCTGCATAATTTGTAATAAAAAATCCCTTGATTATTAATGAAATGAGTGTCCTGGCCATCCAGCAAACCAGTGCTGCTGTATCCACTTGATTATTAATGAAATGAGTGTCTTGGCCATCCAGCAAACCAGTGCTGCTGTATCCAGTTACGGAATCACTCTTCTGAGGACTCTCTACTTACCCTGTCACTTAGATACCTGCAGTGTGCTGCTGATTTTTAAAAAAAAGGCCCACCACTCTGTGTTTATAGTGTCTCAGCTGGCAACAGAAGTCAGGAGGTAACTCGGACGATCCCATTTATGGGAATGAAAGACCTAGGAATGTATGTGGGTGGCTAAAGAATGCCACACAGAACTAAGGGATTTCTGTATGTTGGTTTGTAACTGCGTGTTACTGCAGTTCCTTATGCTGCACAAATGATGCGCTTGGCATGGAAGTCAGAAAGGCTGCGGAGAAGTTTTGGAATGAAGAACCACCATCTGATGAGAATTCCATTGTGCCTCGGTCCCAAGCTGTTCCTCAGAAGCTGGGCTATTTTTCAGGAGTGTAGCTTTTACCAGTAAAACTGCAGAGGTTCCTTCTTGGGCTTCAGGTAGAATTACAGTTTAATTTAAACACTTCTCGCTGAGCCTGCTTGTTAAATTCAGAGTGAAGAGGGAGACGGCCACTGTTTACTTCATAATGTTGTATAAAAATGTGTGCGACCTAGAGCTGGGGTGAAGCATCACCGCTGAAGTAACCAGCAGTCATGGGGCACAGGACCTTTCTTATTTTTGCTGAGCACAGTGGAAATCCCAAGTAACGTTCCAGAATTTCATAAGGCATAAGATAAGCTCATAAGGATCTATTCAGGTGCAGCTCAGCTTTTTCCTAAAGTAAACAAAATAGATCCAGAGCGAGTTAACACGTGTTTATTTCCACCTGATTATATGAGATCACACTTAGAGAACGGCCTTCGGCGCTCAGAGCCTTTATTCACAGTGCATGAAAATAGACACTTTGGTCCTACCAACCACCACGGGCTTTGGCAGTGCATGCAAGCAGAGAGCAGCTGCTCGCTGCAGCGTTACGTTTCTCAGCGTTGCTTCTGAGACAAACGCAGAAAGTCTTGAAAACCTTGACCCCTTACGATCAGGCTGGTAACGTACAGTAACTTATCGTTAACACAACTGCTAAACTCTCTTCAGGATCGTAGCTGTGCAAATAATGTAGTTACGTGAATGATTTATATGTCTCTTTCTCTATTTAGGCATTTTAAATGAATACATTAAAAAAGAAATAATGATGTAGCTAAGGGTAAGTGCGTAAGATGATTAAGAGACCGGCACATGTCATGTAAGAGGCCTAGAGAGCTGTTAAGACTGGAGAAGGGAAGGCTCAGCGGGCGGATCTCATCAATGTTTTTAAGAAGTGAAGGAGGTGGAGCTGGGCTCTTCTCCGTGATACCCAGTGTCTTGGGTTACAATATGTAACCAAGAATGTGTAATTCTATTTTCATCTGTTGAAACTGGTTGGAAGATATTTTTATTTCTTGTAACTCCAGGGGACGGGTGGCTTCTGTTAATGGGTAATCATGGGTTAATGATGGGGCCCCCCCCTGCCCCAAACCGGCCATTTCGCCATAGAGGGGGATTTTTTTTTTTTGGGACCCCTCTACCGGATCATCTCTACTCCAACGGAGCCGCATCTGCCACTCCAGGAGGACTTTAATTTGGACTTATTTTGGACTGTTCCCAAGTCAGGTCGTATTCTGACTCTGTCAGAGGTTCTGGGATTATTTGTTTGTTGTTGTTCTTTTCTCTGTACCATTACTTTTGTAGTTTGCAATATTCTTAGTAAAGAACTGGTATTCCTATCCCCATATCTTTGCCTGAAAGCCCCATAATTTCAAAATTATAGCAATTTGGAGGTGGTGGTGGGGTTTTACATTCCCTATTCCAAGGGAGGCTCTGGTTTCCCCTGGCAGTCACCTGTCTTCTAAACCAAGACACCCAGTAACAGGAAAAGGGGCACAAACTGAAACACGTGAAATCCCACCTGAAGGTAAGGAAATGCTTTTTACCCCATGGGTGGTTGAACATGGGAACAGGTTGGGGAGTGTCTGTCCTTGCAGGTACTTCCAAACCCTGCGTGACCTGCTGTGGTGGGCCCTGCCTTGGGCGAAGGAGGTGGGCTGGGCAATCGCCAGAGCTGCCTTCCAACCTCAGCTGTTCTGTGATTCTGTGAAGTGACTGTACACATACACAAACGATAAAGTCTCTAGATGAATATAAAATCTTCTAACATTAAATACTGACTCAGTCACTCAAGTGGTAATTTTTTCACCAGGCTTGAAGAGAAGCACTTGACTGACTTGTGAGGTGTTTGGTTTTTTTTTTTTCTTGTAAAGAATGATTTATTCATTCTTTGTAGCCTTCTTTCTTTCACACCCACTGTGGAATCCTTTAGTGCCATCAGGACCTTTAGGCAGCCGCAGGACCCCTACAGGTAGACCGTCTGCATTTTGTATTTTCCGAGCCAACATGGGGCTACTGATGGGACTCTTCTCTTGTGTTACAGTTTGAGCTTTTCTCCTCTGTACCCAGGGGCTACCAGAAGGAGTGATGCTGCTATCCGAGGAATAATCTGTACGCTTCCTCGGAATTTCAGGGCTAGTGCTTGGGTTAAGCTTGTTGTCTTCGGCCAGCGGAGACTTCTTTGTTACTTTCCTTAGTGAAGATGGACTGTTCCAAGGACTCGATCTGGGTGACACATTAGGACTCAACTGGTTGTTAGGGTGAACAACGGGGCTCAAATTACCCCTAGTATTTGCTGCAGTACTCTTGCGTCCTGACAGTGGCGAGGCAGGATTACTTTCTGGATCAGAAGAGCTATTTGCTGAAGATTCATCACCAACAAACTGAAGTTCCTCAACTCGCTTATTAAGGGATCTACCCTTCTTGAGACTCTTGCTGGTATCTTCATTACGGTTCTTGTCTTTGGGGACTTTTTTCTTAGGAGGTTTCATGCCCATTAGGACAACTTTCATGCCTGTCTCTTTCTTCTCAGCACACATGAAGTCATGAGCACGTACGGCAGCATCTACTTCTTCAAATTCTATAATTGCGCATTCCTGAGTTCCCAGCTGGGTGTACCGACTGCTGACCCTCCTGATATCAGGTGGTAGATCCCTGCCAGGCTTGAGGATACGAACTGAAGAAATTACACCAAAAGTTACAAAGGCTTTGAGGAGATGCTCCATTACCCTTTCTTGCATGCATCCATTT